ACCTGTTCACCTCCCAAAGGCCCCACCTCCTGGTACTGTCACTTGAGGGGTTAGGGTTCAACATAATGAATTTGGGGTGGGGGTCAACGAACATTCAGACCGTACCAATTATTAACATATATTGAAATATTACCCACGTGCCGGGCATTTTGCTAAGCACTTTATATATATATCACATGTCACAATTAGCCAATATATTGATATTACTGCTTATGTACCATTATTGTTCCCGATTTGAACTGAAATAGAGGCCTAGAGAGATGAAGTCACATGCTCGCATTCACTTAGTCATTAATGCAGGCAGGGTTCCGACCCAGATGTTCTGGAGCAGAACCCAGCTCTGAACCATTGATGTAAGCATGTCTTCAGCTGCTTTTACTTCTTATGGGGAATGTGAACAGTGATGGGGAAGGAGAGAGCACTGGCTTTCTTTTCCTGTCGTACAAGTGTTTCTTCAGCCCACGTTACTTGCCAGCCTCTCTGCACTGGGGGTGGAAATGAAAAGATGGCTGCTGTCCTTGGAGGCCTCATGGTGGAGGGAAGGAGCCAGGTGTTTGAATTTTTTGTTTTGTTTTTTTATTGAAGGACAGTTGCTTTACAGAATTTGTTGTTTTCTGTCAAACCTCAGCATGAATCAGCCGTAGGTATACATATATCCCCTCCCTTTTGAACCTCCCTCCCATCTCCCTCCCCATCCCATCCCTCTAGGTTGATACAAAGCCCCTGTTTGAGTTTCCTGAGCCAGACAGCAAATTCCCGCTGGCTGTCTATTTTACATGTGGTAATGTAAGTTTCCATGTTACTCTTTCCATTCATCTCACCCTCTCCTCCCTTCTCCCCATGTCTGTAAATCTCTCTGTCTATCCATAAGGCCTCATGTCTCTTATGTCTGTTTTTCCACTGCTGCCATGTAAATAAATTTTTTAGTACCATTTTTCTAGATTCTGTATATATGTGTTAGAATACATTATTTATCTTTCTCTTTCTGACTTACTTCACTCTGTATAATAGGTTCTAGGTTCATCCACCTCATTAGAACTGACTCCAATGCATTCCTTTTTATGGCTGAGTAATATTCCATTGTATATATGTACCACAAATTTATCCATTCATCTGTCTGTGGACATCTAGGTTGCTTCCATGTTCTAGCTATTGTAAATAGTGCTGCAATGAACTCTTTTTCAATTTTGGTTTCCTCAGAGCATATGCCTAGGAGTGGGATTGTTGGGTCATATGGTGGTTTTATTCCTAGTTTTCTAAGGAATCTCCATACCATCTTCCATAGTTACTGTATCAATTTACATTCCCACCAGCAGTGCAAGAATGTTCCCTTTTCTCCACACCCTCTCTGGCATTTATTATTTATAGACTTTTTGATGATGACCATTCTGATCAGTGTGAGGTGATATCTCATTGCAATTTTTTTATTTGCATTTCTCTAATAATGAGTGATGTTGAGTATCTTTTCATGTGTTTGTTAGCCATCTATATGTTTTCTTTGGAGAAAAGTCTGTTTAGGTCTTTTCCCCACTTTTTGATTGGGTTGTTTGTTTTCTTGGTATTGAGTTGTATAAGCTGCTTATATATTTTGGAAATTAATCCTTTGTCAGTAGTTTTATTTGCTGTTATTTTCTCCCATTCTGAGGGCTGTCTTTTCGCCTTGCTTATAGTTTCCTTTGCTGTGCAAAAACTTTTAAGTTTAATCAGGTCCCACTTGTTTACTTTTGTTTTTACTTCTGTTACTCTAGGAGGTGGGTCATAGAGGATCTTGCTTTGATTTATGTCATTGATTGTTCTGCCTATGTTTTCCTCTAAGAGTTTTATAGTTTCTGGCCTTACATTTAGGTCTTTAATCCATTTTGAGTTTATCTTTGTGTATGGTGTTAGGAAGTGTTCTAATTTCATTCTTTTACATGTAGCTGTCCAGTTTTCCCAGCACCATTTATTGAATAGGCTTTCTTTGCCCCATTGTATATTCTTGCCTCCTTTGTCAAAAATAAGGTACCTGTAGATGCATGGGTTTATTTCCGGGCTTTCTATCTTGATCCCTTGGTCTGTGTTTCTGTTTTCGTGCCAGAACCATAGTGTCTTGAATGCAGGTGTTTGGATTCGATCTCACGGTGCTTTGCTGTGAGTGCTCAGTTAGCTTTTCATTGGAGGCCCCCAGTTAGGAGGAAAGGGAAGGATGAGGATCCACTCACAGAGGAGGAGATGACTCACTCCCTCACGCCTCTGGTCAGCACTTAGGACATCAGTAAGCAATGGCAGCTGGCAGTTTCTTATAGGGAAGCTTCTTACAGAGCTTCCAGGGAGGCTGTAGGGCAGGCACACCACTTGCTTCTGAGCATACATGGTTTAATGGGAGAGTTTGCAGTGTTCAGGCAGTGGGTACCGTGGAAAAGTTCAGTGGTGCTGATGGCTTCTTTGAGTCATTGATTCAGCTCAGCACCCTTGAGCACCTATTATGTGTTTGACAGATTGACCTTGGATAATAACTTTCTTCAGGTCTAGACTCATCCTCCCAGCTCCACTTGGCTTTGCTACCCTCACCTTCAACTTGCTACATCCAATACCAAACCCATCATCTTCCTCCAGTGTGCCTTTCTTCCTGTATCCCCTGTCCTGGAGACGTCTCCACCAACCCAGGAAACCCTGCTGTCTTCCTCTTGCTCTCTAGTTTCCTCATGTCCGAGATCTCTTCTTCTGAAATCCCTCAAGATTTGACTTCTTCGTTCTTTGTTGCTCTTCTCCAGACATGAAGTCAGCTTTTCATTTCACATTCATTTTTTCTGTCGAACCCTTACTGCATCCAAGGCGTGGACCTCCATCCTGGGACTCTCCATTTGAGCATCACTGGCATCATCCTTCATCTTTCTAAGCTCACAGTCAAGGAGGGATGCAGACAAGTAAACAGACAGTTACAGCCCAAGGATGGTACAGATGCTGAGAGGACTGAGTGTTAGGAAGGGCCCCTGACCTCGTCACCAGTCATCAGAGAAGGATTCCAGGAGCACCCGATGGCCGACCTCAGAAGTGAAGGCTGGGTTAGAGAGAACCAGACACTGGATGGAGACTGTGAAGGTGAGGGAGGAGGAGGAAGGAGGGGACAGGACTGGAATACATGAGAGCAAGAATGGTGGGTCTTACCACCATGTCCCCAGCATCCTGCTCATCACTTGGTGAGTCGTAGGTGTTCAGTAAGTGTAGAATAAGCAAATGCATGAGGATTTCCTACCCAGTAAACCACATATGCAAAGGCCTCGGTTCTAAAGAACACATGGGGGAAGGGAGAATTGAAAGATGTTTATGTGTGTGGAACTTAGAACAGTGCTGGGGAGCCACTGAACAGGAGGTGAGAGCTATGGCCCAGGTCATGTGACCCCCACCCCCTGCTGAGCTCATGCAGTACAGACTGTTTATTGCACTGCTTACTGTATACCTGCATCTCTCCCCTTCTCTGTTCCAACCCCCGAGTCCCTGCAGACCTTCCTGCCCCAATGACTCTCAACCCCTGCTGGGCTCCATTCAGTCTCTTCTTATTCTCCCTGGATCATGTCCCCTCTTCCTTCGCTTCCTGTGCCAAGGATGAAGCTTCCCCCAGTGCTTACACATCCTTCTGACCCAGTCCAGATTCACCTTCCATTTTCTTTAGTCTTCTGGAACCTTGTATTCTGTTGTAGCTGTTATCACATTCCACCTCCTGTTCATAATTTAATTGTGTTTGTAGTTAACTGTCTCTTTAAATAGTAAGAGCTCCTTGAGATTGGGGTAGGGGGAGGGAGGAGGTCCTTCTCATCTTTAGATTTCTCAGAGGTGCTCCTTCATTACAATGCGTTCTCTTATTATGACTAGCACTGTGGCATCTACGGTAGTAGTTCTGCTGGGTTGAACTTTGGCTTTGTACCTGGCAGTCCCTCAAGAAGGCATCTCCACTGTCAATTATTATCCCACCTATGCTTGTTGTTGAGATGCAGCGAGTATTGTACTGCATATCTCACCTAATTGACCCAGTAGCCCCAAGGGGACACTTCATTGTGCACAGGCAGTGTGGGGGTGTAAGTGACATGTTCAAAGCCCCCTCCATAGATGCTAGGTCTGGGCTTCAGACCTATTTACATTTGAATCAGAAGCTTTGCCCTTGTGTGCTACTGGTTTGTATTTTGGGTGCTGGCTCAGTATGACAGCGGGACAACTGAGATGGACTGATAAAGACATTAGAAATATTACATGTGAGGGTGAGCTGATATTCAGTAATGGGAGCCCCAGGTGATGCTATTGTGGCTCCCTGGGGGGTGGGGATGGACATGGAGGGGAATAAGCAGAAGACAGGATTTAGTGTTTAGTGCTGTGCTATGAGAGAAATACTTGCCAGCTCCATACAGCCAGTCTAAAGACCTCATCCTCTGTCCACATGCTTCACTGAGGCTGGTACATCCGGGTGGTAAAGATAAAGCATTGGCCAAATTGTACACACGCTATGACTTTTGGAAATACAGATGCCCTAATAGCAGGTATGGTGGTTGGCTTGCATTGAGTATCACCAATGATTTTACCCTCTCTGATCCTTGGAGTTGCCACATCTCTGAAATCTTGAGGTTGGATGAGATGTCCTCTCTCCTTGTCATCCCTGACATCCTCCCCAGTAGGCACTGGTTAGGCAACATGGCTGGTTGACCTTCCCCATTGCTGTTACAAATTGGTTATGCGTGTTGCTCAGTCACTTCAGTCGTGTCCAAATCTTTATGACCCTGCGGACTGTAACCTGCCAGGCTTCTCTGTCCACGGGATTTCCCAGGCAAGAATACTGGAGTGGGTAGCCATTCCCTTCTTTAGGGGATCTTCCCTACCCAGGGATCGAACCCACATCTGCTTTGCAGGAGGGTTCTTTACCGCTGAGCACTGGGGAACCCAAATATTACCAGTTGGTAAGAGTGGGTTTTTGTGGCTAGAATTCAAAGGTCTTGGCTCTCCCTCCTGACTTCTCCTCTCACTGCCCACAGGCGGAACCCCTTGCATTTCCACCTCATTGCTGACTCCATCGCTGAGCAGATCCTGGCAACGCTCTTCCAGACCTGGATGGTACCTGCGGTGCGTGTAGACTTCTACAATGCTGATGAGCTCAAGGTACTGGCAGGAAGGGGTTCATGCTTTTCTTGTTTAAGGTTTAGTAGACAGAAGCAAAGGCAGAAATCTCAACTCCCAGCTGGAAACATCCAGGTGTACCTGAGGGTTTTTGCCACTCGAAATTGATGTGATTATCTGAAGCATTAAAGTAACTACCTCTTTGGCACAGGATACATGTTGGTCTAGGCAATTCTGACCACCAAGCCTTTCTGTGGAGGCTGGAGGCCTCTGGCCTGGTCCGTATCTAAAGGAGGCCCATGGTGGCTGATATCTAGAGAATTCATTTACCTGGTCCGGTCAGCACTGAACTCAGAGTGTGATGGGACTGGGTTTGAACTTGTGTATTGTCATTTACTGGTTGTAAGACACAAAGTTATACCTTTGCTGGGTCTGATTTTTCACGTGTAGAAATGTGATTATAACACCAATCTCGTGGAGTAATGGCTCAAATGAGAGAATATATGTGAGCATACTTAAAAAGACTATGCTGAATAGAGACTTCCCTAGCAGTCCATTGGTTTAGACTCTGCACTTCCACTGCAGGGGCCACAGGTTTGATCCCTGGTTGAGGAACTAAGATTCCTCATGCCATGTGGCACGGCCAAATAACCCCTACAAGATCAGGCTGAATAAATATTAAGGATTATGTTGGGCCAGAAGGTTTCAATGAAAGGAGGATCGTTTGGCCATATCATTACCTTGCTTGAAATCCTGCCGTAGTACCACGTGGTCTGTGCCAAGCTTGAGTTTCACAGTCTGATTAAAACGCCCTTCATATTCTGGCTCTAGACTCTTCTTCCAATTTCGTCTCTGGCCGTTCCTGCAAATTCACTTATTACTTAGCTCTAAGAAACCACCTCTGGGCTCTCTGCCCTCCTTCTGTGTCTGAGCCTTTCTTCCTATCTGACATGCACTTCCAGCTAACTTGTCATCACTCCACTCATCCGTCAGGACTCAGCTCCATGGCCACCTCCTCTGAGATCCTCCTGTGACTCCCTCAGGGAAGAGGAAGATCTTTTCCGTTCACTTGTCCAACTACTGCTTTAGCATACAACCTTCTTAATGGGGGACAGGGCTGGGAACACATCTTGTTCTTTTCTGTATTTCTGGCAATTGGTTGGTACCCTGTGCTGCAAGTGGATTTTACAAATTGCTGTTATTAGTGGAACACGTAACTTTGCAGAAATTGTGGCTGCTCCATCTCCAGTCACCTTGGGAAGGACTAAACACCTAGGCATGAGGCTGATTTTAGCAAATTGCTTGGTCTAAATCTCCTAAAGCCATTATCTTTTCATTTCAGAGCCATAACATTTTAAATAGATCACCGAGATGCCGGCCAGAGTTTCTGATTTTCCCATATTTCAGGCTCTGAGGTTGATCGAGATGTTGAGAATTTAGCATTTGGGGATTGTCGTGGCAATTTGTGTGCCATTCCAATCTATTCTGAGCTAAAATTGATTAACACTCTTAAAAAGGGAAAAACAAAATTTAGCAAATTGCTGCACTAATTAAGGTGAAAGCAAGCCACTCTGTCTCCCAGGGTCTGAGCACCAACATCATGGGGAAGAGCTCCGGGAGGGGAGGAGCTGTGTCTGGCACAGAGGGCTGCTGCTTCTCTCTTAGCGTGGCTCCAAGTCTGTGCTGTGTAAGCCTGGACCCCCCTGCTTTTTACGAGAACACAGAGTGGTTGAAAAAACCCCAACTTCATATCCCGTCTTGCCACTAAAGAGCTGTCTGACTTGGGCTTGAGAAAGTCAAACCCAAGTGAAAGTGAAAAGTGAAAGTGTTAGTCAGTCAATTGTGTCCGACTCTTTGCAACCCCATGGACCAATATAACCCTGCCAGGCTCCTCTGTCCATGGAATTCTCCAGGCACGAATACTGGAGTGGGTAGCTATTCCCTTCTCCAGGGGATCTTCCTGACCCAAGGATCAAACCCCGGTCTCCTACATCACCAGCAGATTCTTTACCTCTGAGCCAGATGGGTAGGACATTGCCAGACACAGAGGAAGATACTGGAATTAAACAAGATAACTCACGTGAAGGCCCAGCGGTGCCTGAGAGGCAGCAGGTTCTTGAAAGTCCCTTATTCCCCTTCGTAGCCATGGCAATGTAGGATTAAAATGCTTTTAATTGTATGGCCTGCAGGGAAATCCCCGGGCCATGGGGAGGTTGAAAGGTAAGGCACTGTGGCCTGTAACCTGCCCCTGGGAACCCTAAGACTTTCTTAGGGTCCTGGAAGAAAGGAGGCAGGTGAGATTGGGAAAGATTGGAGTTCTGACTCCATCATGCCCACATGAATCCAGGTATCCATTATTTTTACACACTGTTTTTTTTTTTTTTTTCTGGCCCTGCTGGGTCTTCATTGTTTTGTTGCTTTCTCCAGTTGCAATGAGCAGGGGCAACTCTTTGTTGGGGTGCATGGGCTTCTCATTGCGGTGGCTTCTCTTGTTATGGAGCATGGGCTTTAGAGTGTGGGCTCCACAGTTGTAGCGCAAGGGCTTAGCTGCTCCATGGCATGTGGAATCTTCCCGGCCTGGAGATCAAACCCATGTCCCCTACATTGGGAGGTGGATTCTTAACCACTAGACCACTAGGGAAGCCTGCACACTGGATTTTTATCCATTTGAAGACTGCTTGGCTTAAAAAGTAAGAATTAAAAAGAAAATCGCCACGTGATGTATTCTGAAGGATCTGGTCTCCAGAGTCCTGCCCTTGACCCTGTCTTCGACTGATGGCTGCATTGCAAAGACCCTCCCACCTGCATTTTATTTCCTTACCACTTAAACATCTATCACCCACAGTCCTGTATCCCGTGAGGCGAGTTGTCAGAATCTGGTAAGGACAATGAGTATGAGGCATTTTGTAAAATGTAATTTTTCCATAATTCATGAGAACGGTCATAATAATTTATGCATAATTCTGCTCGACAAACCTAAATCATGATCTGCCCACTCTCCCAACCTGAGCCTTCCTCACATCTAGCACCACCATCTACTTAGCTGCTTGTCCAGAACTAAGAGTCTGCCTTCAATGGGTCCCTTTCCCTCTCTCTATATCTGGCCATTCGAGGTCCAAGCTTGTCTCCATCTCCCCTGACACTATCATAGTCTAAGCTCGTGAGATTTTCCCCCAGACAAATCTCTTCCCTTCTTATCTGCCTACATCTCCTTTACTGAATCTATTCTTCATCAGTAACATAAATCAACTTCCCCATAGGAAAGCCCAACCACACCATCTCTGTCCTCTGTGTAAAACCTTTGATGGTTTCCTGGTGCTTTTAGGATGGAGAGTACAGCCCTTAACTGAGCTGTGTTTCTGGCTCCTGCCTCCTTCCAACTTCTTCTTGTATTGTTAGCACCACTGCTCACCTGCTGAATTTTCCAGGCTACTCTGCTCCTTCCCTTCTGCTGGGGGCCTTTGCACACGTTATTTCTTCTGTCTGTTGTATTTGGAGTCTCTTCTTTCCCCATCGTTAATTAACTCCCCATTATTTTGCTGAGCCTCTGTGTACTTGAGGAAACCTTCTCTGCTTTCATCATCTCATAGGGGTTTCTTTGCTATGTCTTCTTGGAGGATCACATGCTTTTCTTCTGTAAACTCATCACTGAGTGTAAACTTTCATGCCTTTGAGTGATGAGCGGGTAAATGTCTACCTTCCCTCAAGTGTAGGGTCCAAAAGAGCTAGGCTTCTGTTTTTTATCACTCTTGTATCCCTACCACCTGGCATGATGCCTGGCCTATGAAAATGTTTGCTAAATGAATACACAGTAAACTCAGGGCTGGGTGCCGGAGAGACAGACGCAAAGTCATTAGGAAAGGATTTCAGTTTTGTTTTGTTTTATTTTAATTGGAGTATAGTTGATTTGGAATGTTGTGTTAATTTCTGCTGTGCAGCAAAGTAATTCAATTATGTGTGTGTGTGTGTGTGTGTGTGTGTGTATGAGCGTGTGTACTGAAGTAGGAAATGGCAACTCGTTTCACTATTCTTGCCTGGAAAATTACAGGACAGGAGCCTGGCAGGCTACAGTCCTTGGGTTTGCAAAGAGTCAGATGCAACTGAGCATATATTAATATATATATGCATTCTTTTTATGTTCCTATCCATTATGGCTTATCATAGGATATTGAATATAGTTCCCTGTGGTTTACAGTAGGATCCTGTGATTTATCCATTCTCTATACATAAAGTAGTTTGCATCAGATCCCAGACTCCCAATCTGTCCCTCCTCCAACCCACGCCCCCCCACCCCGGCAACCAGTCTGTTCTCTATGTCCGTAATTCTGTTTCTATTTCATACATATGTTCATTTGTGTCATATTTTAGGTTCCACATGTAAGTGATATTTGATGCCTATTTGTCTGACTGACTTTACTTAGTGTGATAATCTCTAGTTGCCTTGATGTTGCTGCAAATGGAATCATCGCCTTCTTTATGGCTGAGTAGTATTCCATTGTGTGTATGTTCAGTTCAGTCGCTCAGTCGTGTCCGACTCTCTGCGACCCCATGAACCACAGCCACATCTTTATCCATCTTTAGCCATTCATCTGTCAATGGACATTAGATTGAGGAAGGAGTTCTGGATCACTGTGAGGACTTAGCACATTCCTGAGGCCCATTGTACCTCAGGGCGCTGGCAGACAGCCAGGTGTTTGTCTACCAGTGACCCTGCAGTAGCGTAGATAAAACAGCCCCACCTGTACCAACCCACCTTAATCCCAAGAGCAGCCGTGGTGCAGACGTCTTTCCATGACAGGGAAAGCAGGAAGGGGATGCAGTGAAACGCCATCCACCAGATGATGTTAGAGGAATGACAGATGATGACGTGGAATCATGCTGATTCTGCACTTGCATCCAGGAAACATGTCGGATGGTACGCACAGCAGACGCATAAGACGGCCTCCCCCGATATGGCTGAGAAATCATTTTATATAGCTGTTGGAAATGACATTTCTCAGAAATACTCCTGTGGGGCCCTTATTCTGTCTGTTAGTGCTGGA